CTTTGATGTTTATAAAAAACCAAACCGTTTGAAAATTGGTTGAAAATTGAGCAAGCTATGGTTATTTAAATAGTAAACCATAATCTTATGAATGAGAGAACTGCCTGTAGCAAGATGGCGGCCAAGTGGCAACGTCGGTCTCCATTGGCCAGCAGCGCGGGTGAGTCATCTAGTGTTTATATATATCTATGGCTCCTATACTGGAGTTTACAGAGGGGGCGGGGAGTGTGGGACAGTGTTATTTCCTCTGGGGATGAGCAAGCTCCCCCCGTTGACAGTTTCGCTATGGGTGGTCGCATTTTCGAGAGCTCCCGCTTTGGCGGTTATTCCTCACGATTTTTTACATATTTTATCCTCCTAACAATATGGATTATGGACTCCTACCTCAACTCATCAATGAGGCAACATCACTTAGAGAAGGAGAGTAATGAAAGCGGGGATAAAATGAACCACAATGACTTTTACCTTCTCAACGGCTGGGAAAGGAAACACCTCGCTTTTGGAAGTGCAAGCATTCATGCATTATTAACTGCAAACCCGACGCGAAAGTACTTACCCTCGTCAGGCAAACTAGACCGAAGAAGTATGATCGTCTTGGTCTTATTGTTAGCGGGAGACATCCATCTGAATCCGGGCCCGGTGCAGACAAGAAGCCAGTCCTGCAGGCTCGAGGAGCTAGCATCACAATTAGCATCACAATTAGCATCTCTTCCGCTGCAGCAACAACTACGCGACGACAACAGAGACCGTGGAGACAGCGGAGACCGAGGAATAAACGGAGACTTCGACATTCCCCCGGGGACGCCTCGGCAGACAGACACGCATGAGGCAGTGACGAGAGGAAGAGAACCGAGATCCGAGGGAACAAATATCCGCCATGTTGTTAGCCACCCTGCTAGCATATCAACGGCTAAAGCTACAACGGAGCCTCCCCCCCCCCCACCACCACCACCACCCCACCCCACACCACACCACCACGACAAGCCGGTTGCTGTAACGGACAAAGACAAATATCTGCAAGCTGACGACATTGTGCATAAGCAACAAAAATGGACTACATATTTTTCATCTGAACACTAACAGCCTGAGACACAAACTGGCTGAACTCAGGCAGCTATTCATGAACGGTAAGGCAAGCATATTATGCTTTTCTGAGACCTAATTGGACAATTCCATTACAGATTCAGAGATTGAAATTGAAGATTATCTTGTAGTGAGAAGGGACAGGAACGTGAATGGAGGTGGTGTCTGCATGTACATACATAAAGACACCAATTTCAAAAACCGAACTGACCTGCATCATGAAAATATTGAATCTGTGTGGGTTGAAATTCTTTTTGACAATGCTAAATCTGTAATAGTCGGGACAATCTATAGACCACCGGAACAGAGTGACTTTTATGATACATTAGATGGGTGTTTGGCTGATGTGGGGGATGTAGAGACAATTATTATTGGAGACTGGAACACGGATATGCAACGTAAAGACACGTCCGTCTTCAAGTCCTTCAGTAGGATTTGTGATCTGCACGGCTTCAGCCAGCTAATCACCCAACCCACCCGGGTATGTGAAACAACACAAACTACCATTGATCTCATTCTGACCTCTGACAAGTCCAGGATCTCCAGTAAAGGGGTTATAGCATGCGGGTTAAGTGATCATTATATGATATTCTGTACCCGCAAAAAGCTAAAACAAAGGGCCGGCTGCCACAAAACAGTCATATCTAGAGACCTCAAAAACTACTCTAGCGAGGCCTTTAACCTAGAACTGGAGAGCCTGGACTGGTCGGATGAGCTCAGTGGTACACAAGTTGAAGAAACATGGCTTTGTTTCAAAAACAAATTCTCTGCAATACTCAATGATTTGGCCCCCCTAAGAACAACCAGGGTAAAAAATCGCGCTGAGCCGTGGATGCACTCCGGCATACTGACCGCCATGAAAACCAGAGACAAAAAATGCTCTGAGTTTCATAAAAGTCAGTCAATGCTTTCCAAAAGCACGAGCAGTGAACTCCAGGCCCACGTGACTGAACTCAAAATTGAAAGAAACAGACTAAGAAATGACGTAAGCTCCATGATCAAAACTGCCAAAAAAAATTTCATCAATGTCAAAACTGAGGAAAACAAAAATAAACCCCATGAACTTTGGAAATTACTCAATAACCAGCTTGGCTGCAGTAAAAAAACTCAAAACGAGATTTTCTAACTTAAACATAAAGACAGATAACAGGCTCATCACAGACAAACTGGATGTGGCCAAGTACTTGAACATTTTTTTCACAAACATAGCCACAACTCTTGTAAATAAATTACCCTCCCACTCAGGGCTTTTTGGAGTAGATCACATCATGACCTACTACAAAAACCTAGGGGTACGCAAAGATGATTTCAGTCTAGCAAGGGTAACAACAGCAGAGGTACTCATTAAACTGAGCGCCCTCCAACCTAACAAGGCCACTGGCCACGACAATATCCCCTCCAAATTCCTCAGAGACAAAGCAACCGCCATCTCACCAGTCATAGCTCACATAATTAACCTCTCCATAAACAGGGAAAAGTACCCAAAGACTTCAAAATTGCAAGAGTAACCCCCCTGCACAAAAAGGGCAGCAAATTGGACCCAGGCAACTACCGCCCTGTTTCTATACTTACCTCCATCTCGAAAGTCATGGAAAAAATAGTATATGAACAGGTCGAAAAGTACCTCGCGGAAAAGAAACTAATCTATGAATTTCAATCTGGCTTTAGAACATCCCACTCCACTGACACATGCCTTCTTTATTTGAGCGACCACATCAAACAAGAGGTGGACGAGGGCAAGTACTGCGGCATAGTGATGCTAGACCTACAAAAGGCTTTCGACACTGTCAATCACTCCATTCTGATTGACAAGCTAAAAGCAATTGGTTTTGATAAACTATCGGTGAGCTGGATGCAATCCTACCTGGAGGGGAGAGAACAGATGGTGGAGGTAAACGGTACTCTGTCCCCACCGCTCCCAGTGAGCTGTGGTGTTCCACAAGGAAGCATATTGGGTCTGTTACTGTTCCTAATTTATGTAAATGACATGTCATCAGCATGTGACTGCAACTTGTTCCTGTTCGCGGACGACTCAGCCCTGCTGGTCTCTGACAGGAACAGGTTGCAGGTTGAAAAAACCCTCAGCTCCGAGCTCGGCAGAATCTGCACCTGGCTCGCCGATAATAAATTATCATTACACCTGGGTAAAACAGAGTCCATTCTCTTCGGTTCGAACATAATCAAAACATAATCTCAGCAAATCCGACGACTTCTCAGTTGCAGTGGGCGACATTATTGTCACAAGTAAGAAGGAAATTACATACCTAGGATCTATTCTTGAGGCAAACCTCTCCTGTGACAAAATGGCATCCAATGTAATAAAAAAAGTCAATCAAAGAACTAGATTCCTATACCGGATCTCCTCTCTGGTAAACAAAAACACCCTGAAAACTCTGGCAGGAGCACTCATTCAAGGGTACTATGACTATGCTTGCACGTCATGGTACCATAGCACCTCCAAGGCGCTAAAAATAAAACTTCAAACATCGCAAAATAAACTGGTCAGACTACTGCTTGACCTTTCATCTAGAACCCACCTCACCTCTGCCCACTTTGACAACCTAGGATGGCTTAGAGTAGACGACAGAGTACAGCTACTTGCAATGGGCCTGGTCTACAAGATCCACTACACCTCTATGGTACCCATGTACATGTCAAAATTCTTCCCAAAGGTCAAGGAATACCATGATCATAACACCAGAGGGAGCTCCACAAATCATGTGAAACCCAGATTTGGCACAAAAAAGGGGGAATACACGTTTCGCAATTATGCCACATCAAGGTGGAACGGTCTTCCCACAACTGTAAAGGAAAGTAAAACTATACTTACCTTCAAAACCTCTCTTAAAGAGCACCTTCGGGGGAGAGCATTGCAAAACTGGCCCGGTAATGGTACAAATCTCAACCTGTCGTTCAATGGACAGCTTCCCCCCCCCCCCCCATCTATGTATATACTCGCATTTTAGACTCTGTTACTAACTGTATATCTGTAGACTTGGTATGTCTTAAATGTCCGGTTAGGATGTATTAGAACGAAATCTAAAATGAAAATTGTAAATAAGCAATCTGGATGTAAAAAACCACCTGTATGTAAATTGTAAATAAGCCATCTGTATGTCAAATATGTCTTATATGTCTTAAATGACATGATGAATTGGAAATGGGGGACCCTGATGTAAACAAGACGAAAGTCTTTCTCTGGTCTGCATCCCCTTAACAATTGTATGTTTTGAGCTGTACTGTACTGTACCCAATATACAAGCTGTTAATAAACTTTTCAATCAATCAATCAATCAATCAAGAAGCAGCCACGCTGCGACTACTCCCGACCCACGTAACCAAGGAGATCGATGCAAAGAGCCCTTTCGTAAACACGGGGGCTCCCGACCCGGGAGATCAACAACACGGTCCTTTTGGAAAGTGCCATGCGGCGTGATCCCTCACCAGGATATCACACGGCAGACAACGGCGGCGGCCACGATCAAGCTACAAATAATCGCGGCATCTCCAGCAATGAGCGAGATGCCAAACACACCCGTGTTTATTTGCAGTCGCCCTGTCACGCGGTAGCAGAGGTGGTGGAGACCGGCGCCCGCGATCAAACCAGGGCAGGTGCATGGCCGAGCTTCCAGTAATGGTGAGTCCATTTTCCGTTTCTTCTAATCTTCTAATCTTCGTTCGTTTAACTCTTCGGCTGTCAGCTCGTCTGAAGAGAAAAAGGATAGTGGGCGGCGGGTGTAGCCGCCTTTATATACTGTGGGCCTGCGCGCACATTCAGGTAGGCTCGCCCCGATTGGCCGGCTACGTTTACGTAAACTCAGTAGGTGAAAGCACGCACAGCATGATAGAGAGTAGTACCCATAGAGTCCAGTAGAGGGCGGAGCCTGTGTGAAATATAACAGTATACACACATTTACCTTTTGCAAGATCGCCAGATGTTTGGCTAGTTTCTGGCCAACAACTCCTCCCTTCTTCTGGAAGATCTATGTCAGCTGAGGTAGATGGCTGTCCAACTGCGCCATGAAGGCTGTTTCAAGTGGGATAGTTGTTATGCGCTGGAATTCAGCGTGTATCTGTTATGCAAAACGACAAAAGACAAAGAGCACATTCAGCCATTGGTGTAATGATATTTTGTATCTACTATATAATTAAAGGATAGATTCTAATGTTGACCTCATTAACCAAGTCCTTGATAAGACGTGTATTGGTGCACAGTGTGTTCTAACTAAAGTATTTATATTAATCTAAGGTAATTGCAAGGAATCAGAACTAGACTTGTAAGCTGTATGGTTGTTTAAACCTTGCTAATACTTTAATTGACAATGGGTAAAATGTTGAGGTATAAAGTGAAAACCCCAATTCCAGCAGCAGCTGTTTTCTTCAGACAATCAAACTGACAGTTAGAGAATAGCTGGTGAAGAAAGCGGAACATTGAGCAGCTAAAGAGCCAAATACTTTACTAAGGAGTTGGTGGAGAGCATAAACAGAGCTAAAAGATGTGAATATTGGACTTATCAGATGGACAGAAACACCATTTCAAATGTATGATCATGTTGCTCTGTAGCAGCTCGATGTGTACAGCAAATAGGCATTTCACCATTCACCATGTGAAATATATAACTTACCTCATCAATATGGAGTATTGTGAGTAAGGTTCTGTTCCCCATCACACCAACACCAGATAGCAAAACCTGCAATACAAATAAAGATGAGCAGAAATTAAAAATAATAATGGTAAATGAAAAAAGGTAATTGATTGCCAATGATTACTGACTTGTGTTAGGCCAATGACTCAAAATCCTACAAACTCCTTTGTGACAAACAATGTAACGTTTTTTTTTTTTTTTTAAATAGAGCCTAAATATGACTGGATGTGGTGCACTTTTGCTAAATGTTTAGACAAATTGCTTGTGTTACCGCCCTTACATGCTAAACTGTTATTACACTTGATGGCAGCTTTTAAAAAGGGAGAAGCTTTTCTTTCTTTCATTGTACATGTATAATGACATTAAATGATTATATTCTATTCTATAGCCAAAAGCAATAAATGATTTCTCACTTTTGGCAAAGAGCATTGTCCACCTCAAAACGGGTAACATTTAACCACACCTAGGAGCGCTTAGTTCTCTCTCCACCATGTGTGTGTGTTACATGCATGTAGCAGCCGCGTGTGTATAAACTGCCCCACCCCCTCGCACACTGACGGGGAGAGAGAGAGATCTCTCCTCTGGATTGGATAGATTGAAAATACATCGACGCATTTTGTCTTATTGCATATTATAAACGGTGTTGGCGAAACTAAGACTGCAATATAATGTTAAATGTCTCAAGTACCGATAAACAGACCGTCCTGCTAGAGAGGTGGTACTTTCCTGGGGAGAAAAGGTTAGTGGGTGTGTCGGCAACACTAACTATTTTTGACTAACTTATGGCAACACAAAATAATACATGGGAGCGGTGGAGTGATGAGGAGGTGTCGGCGCTTCTGGCGATTTACTCGGAAGGCTTCAGTCGAAGCCAGTCCCGAACTCCGGGGACTTCCGGTGGCAGTATACGCCGTAAAGTTGTTTGCGGTGTAGTGGGGCCGACACACCCACGAGCCATTTCCTCCTCAGGAAAGTAATAACTCGCTAGCAGGGACTATCTGGGGGTGAAATAAGGTTCGGGGGGAAAAGTACTCGTGTGAAACGTTATATGAACGTTAGCCGCGGTAACATTAACCCCTTGCCGCCAGAGAGTAACGTTACCAAAACCAACGTGATTTCACATGCTTAGTTGTGTCCTAATATTACCACAGTGATAAGAACAAGTTAAACAAAAAAATATACTTACAGCCGGTCAGGAACACAGTAGGCTAGGAATGGCCAGTATACAAGCCAGGTGAAGCTACAAAAAAAAAAAGCATAGTAACAGGCAGTATTCAACTTGTATTAGCCACAAACTAATAATAAAGTCTAACAAGACAAAGATTGAATTTATCACGTATTTAATTTGAGAGCAGTATCAAGTTATCTTATAATGTTAATGATACATGTTACACTTCAATTAGGTTACTTAAACATTACTACACAACTAAGCTAGGTTAACAGTAGGCTAACAGTTAGCTAGCTGCTGTAGGCCTACGTTTGCTAATGTTAATCTATCAAAACACACAGTCAATATTGTTAATGTTAGCTATTAATCTACCTGTTTAAGTATAATATAATACACCTGTGACGAAGGTAACTTTGTCACTGATGGCTTCGGGCCTTGCATATGTGCACATGTTTATATTATTTATTGATGTAGTGTTTATTGTATTTTATTTTGAAATGTGTTCCCCTTTCCCCATGTCTGTGGCCATTGATTGTGTGCACCTGGTGCTCTGTGGTGTCTCCTCCCCCCTCACCTGTGTCCTGTTGGGTTGATTGGGTTGGGCATTTAGGCTCTGGGGTTTTGCTGTTTGGGAGATAGTGTGTATGAGATCCTTGTGGCTGCAGGCTGTGGTCAGGGAGAACCAGCAGGATTGAGGCTGTGTGTCATGTGTTCCTGACTTAATAAATGCCCACACCGGGTTGTATTTTGGACGTTCTGCCTCTGCCTCCTTGCTTGGTCGGGCCGCTCAATTGTCAGCTTCACAACACCCAAGGCTATGAATGAGCTACTTACTTAAAACGGAGAGCCGTGGAGAACGTTCACCTCACGACAGAGGAGCTACGCAGGCAGTCAGGTGATGGTCCTTCCGAATGGAAAATGGAGGGCTGCTTGTGTGTGACAGGACAGTATATGTGGTAATTAAATTGTACATATTTTTTTCTAATTACTTTTAAATGAATGAAATGAGCTTGTTTTAAACAGTGACAATATATGTTAAGATTAATTAAATAAGATAAGAAGGATGCAATAACACAAATCTATTAAAAAAGGCTAGATTAAAACATGTAACATCTAAAAGGGGTCATAATCAGTTTTTACAGTGTGTGAGGTTGAACCCACAAGCTGTACATGAACCTGTGATCATCCGTGAATAAGAAGAAGTTATTAAAGCCTAATAACTAGAAGCCTGTTTCCGACTCCCTTTGTGATCGTTACAATACACGTATCCACTTTTCTACACTGCTCAGCTGCTTCTTTCAACGTACTACCATCAAAACCCAGTACTTATTTACAACCGCAGAAGAAGATGCGTTATTCTTCTTCTACTGACTCACACGCGCAACTTTTTGGCGAATACTAGCAACAACAATGTGAGTGACATTAGCAATTATTAACCTGTTAAGCCCGAGAGACCCCGGTACCGGGGCCCTCCTGCAACATCTTACAGGAAACAGTGTCTGAGGGCATGTTCATTTAATAAACTATGAATGTGTTATATCCATGTAACGGGAAGAAACTCATCTTAACTGATAATATTGTAGCGATCCTGATAGGCTACTCAGGGTGTCACTTAGGCATCCCCGTCTCTCTGCCAATCATAGAGCTGCACCGTGATGGTGGCTGAGGTGCGGGCCTGTGGTTGGTGGAGCGGACGGGGGAGGGCGGGGAGTTGTGACGTAGACAGTGCTATATATATGGGTATGTGTAGAAGTTAGTGTGAGTGGTGTGTGCGGTAGAACCCACGAAGTGTACTTGACCTGTTATCATCTGTCTTCAAATACTAGTTATTAAAGCCTAATAACTACAAGCCTGTCTCCGACTCATCTTGGGAACGTTACAATATATATATTTTTTTTCAACAAAAAAAACACAATGCTAACGCTGAGCCTCTGAATTAGCAACGAGCTAAAAATGCTAACAGATTACTGCACCGAAATTCACTCACAAAACCTTATTTATCTTTGCTGCACATCCAACCCATCGTTTCACATCGTGAGGTGACACAGAATCGAGGGGTACCCTTCATTATCACTCAATGATACGAACTCTCGGAGATAATAACAAGAACAGACATCAAAACATATGGCGCTAGGTAGCTAAAAACGCTAACATGGCTCACCTGTGTCGTAGTCTGGTCAAAAGTGGTCTTCAATGGCATTAAAACGATAAAAACGCTGCTGAAGTTAATCCATAGGTTAATCCAATGTGTCTGTGTCACTTTGAATGATTTCTGATCATCCACGAGCAATAAACCTGCTTTTCCGTTTCCAGATGTCAGAGCTAGAGACAGCTTCACTCTGGTGCAAAAACTTCTGCGCGAATCCCCCACCTTTTTGTTTTACCATGTGTGTGAGTGGGGAGATTCCCCTTCGATTCTAATGGCTCTAACGGTCAAAGATGTCAATCACCAAAATCGACCAATGGGTTCCAGAGAAACGGTAAAACCCCCATTTCCCCCAGGTCTTTAAGAGAGAAAAGTGAGAAACCAGCCATCAAGACAACGACAGGCAGTATAAATAAAAGCTATACTAAACTATTTCAAAGCAGAAATATAATCACCTGACAAATGACTTAAAACCGCTTTCGTGTTATTTCCTGATGCGGAAATGAGGTGAAACATGAAACTGAAACTCAAAGACAAGTCAGTACAAAAAAATAAATTATGAATCTTCTTCATGAAAGAACAGAGACAATAAGCAAAAGACTGGAGGGTAATTACTGCAAGACGTTGGTTGGCCTAAAGGTTCAGAGAATTGATACCTGTCGGACACATTGCTGGAGGTGGGAGCCAAATAAAGGCTATTTTAGTAATCATAATGAAAAGTTAATTTACATAAAAAAAACATTATTTGCTTCTTTACAGATGTCTCTTTCCCAATGTAAGTCAATAGGCACATTTCTTTTGTGCCCAGTGGTATCAAGTTCCAAAGCAAGAATTGTATTTTCGTGGTTTGGCCACCAAGAAATTGGCTTCAAACCCAGGTACTGTTCTGAACACACCTTAAGGTAGAAACACTGAACCCTACACATAATAATGCAACAAATTAATTTGTCAACTTCCAAGCCTATCAAACATTCATTATTGTTCGAACTCCATGCCTATTTG